GCCCAGGAGTGATCCCTGGGGTAACCCACTTGTTACCTCCTCCTAGTTTGAGAAGGACCTCCCTAAGTATGATTCTGTATCCAACTGTGCATCCATCTAACCCACACCTAGTTAGCTTGGTAATCAGTATATCATGTGGCATTTTGTAAAAGCTTTGATAAAGCCAAGGAATACTATGTCTATAGCAGTCCCTCTGTTCTCAGAGTTCTTCAGGCTGCTTCGCCAATACTCTTCGATGCAGTTCATCCAACCCTGGAGATCTGAACTCATTCCTTGACTATTTGTTTATCAACTTCCAGCTGCGATCTTGTCCCTTCCATCTTCAGATTTGTCTGTAAGGTCATAATCTGTTTTATGGGAAAAGACTCAGCTAAAATAGGAATTGAGCACTTCTGCCTTTTCTTTGTCTTTTATCGTTTTTCCATCTCCATTGAGTAGCTGAGCCATTGTTTCTTTTCTTTGTCTTTTGCTATGCACATGCCTGAAGAACGCTTTTTGTTGCATTTAATGCCTCTAGCTAGCTTCAGCTTATTCTCAGCTTTTGTCCAATCCTGAAATCTCTTGCTACTTGTCTGTACTCTTCCTTCATGAGCTGGCCTTCCTTCCACTTCCTGTATGTGACCTGTATTTGTTTTCAGGTCCTGTCTGAATTTTTTGTGAAGCTACATTGGCCTTTTTTGCTTGTATTTGTGCCTTTAGAATTTCTTTTTTTACAAACTCCCACCCTTCTTGGATTCCTGTTCGTTGTTAGCATCTCCTGCCATGGGACCTTACTTATCTTTGTTCTGGGTTTATTAAAATTGGCTTTTAAAAAATCCAGCATATATATATGGCTACATTCTGCTTTCCTTTGAAAGTTAGAATTCTAGTAGAACATAGTCACTCTTTGCCCAGAGTTCCCCTTATTGCCACTTCCTCCATCAACTCATCTCTATTGGTTAGAATCAGGTGAAGGATAGCTAGTCCTCTAGTTTCCTTCATTACTTTTTGTAAGATAAAATTGTCTGCCATAGAAGCCAGGAATTTTTGAAAGGGCCATACTTGGCAGAATTTGCCTCCCAATTGATATCAGGATAATTGAATGCTCTCATCACTACTACACTGTGTCTCTTTGAAATGCTTGCAATTTGTTTTTCAAAAGTTTCATCTGCATCATCTCCTTGATTGGGTGGTCAGTAATAAACTCCAACTACCATGTTCCTTTTGTTTTTCACTCCAACTACATTGATCATTGAGGGACGTGGTGGCGCCATGGGCTAAACCGCAGAAGCCTTTGTGTGCTGCAGGGTCAGAAGACCAGCAGTCGTCAGATTGAATCCACGCAATGGAGTGAGCCCCGTCACTTGTCCCAGCTCCTCGCCAACCTAACAGTTCAAAAGCATGCAAATGCGAGTAGATAAATAGGTACCATCTCGGTGGGAAGGTAAAACGGCATTCCCTAGTCACGCTGGCCACGTGACAACGGAAACTGTCTTTGGAGAAGTGCTGGCTCTACGGCTTGAAAACAGGATGAGCACCGCCCTCTAGAGCCGGACACGACTGGAGTAAAAATGTCAAGGGGAACCTTTACCTTTAGCTTTACATTGATCCAGATGCTCTCAATAGGGCAGCCAATCTCCCCCTCCCATATTTCTGTTACGGAATGTGTATTTTAGACATATACTGCAACTCCACCTCCCATTCTATTCCTTCTGTTCTTTTTGAACAATTTATATCCTTTGATTACTGTATTCCAGTCATGAGAGTCATCCCATTTTGACTTTACTGTGCTTACTCCTTGAGGGACTAAATAGCTATCACTAGCTAATGTAACCACTGTTCACATTTCTGCCACTTCAGGATTCCACAACAAGACAGGGTAGCAGCCCAACATAAACCTCCACTCTGTCCACTGTCCTTGAAGGGGAAACTATGTCAGCCATGGAGAACAAAAGTTGTACAGATTTTTCCAGCCATTTGAAGTACAGGTTTCAAATAACAGACCTTTTCTTCTCCAATATAGAGAGATATGTACTCCTATCTGCAGCAAATTATAGCAAAGAAGCCCAGCTCTTGTAATGATAGAACTAGGAGGAGTGAGTTGCCACACTTAAGGCTATAAGGGAAGTAGTATACATCGACAGAACTCTTGAGCAGCAGTCAGTGGATGCACTGGAAGTGAAAGAGCAACCAGGGAAGGCAGAGGAGGACAATGCTCTGGAGTAAACATAGTGAGGAAGAACCATGAAAAGAGTCATAGTTATACCAAGGACCTGCTTCTTCCATCTAACTATCTTTGTACTTTTTACTACCCAGCTTCCTTGATGGCTCTGCTGTGCATACATTTATCTTCCTGGGTGGCAAAGGAAGATAGGAAGAGTGCACCCAATCTTTCTGTAACAAAGACTTGTGGGCCAGAGCAGGAGCCTTCCTGCCTGTTGGTGGGGGGGTGCAGACTTGAAGTAGGAGTGGCATCCAGAAATCCTGGATTCAAACTGCTTTCTAATACAAGGAAGGGACTAAAACGATTTTTGCAAACTCCAGTCCCCACCTCAGTTCTCACTCAACAGTAAGAGCCTGATCTAGCAACCTGATTATGATGACATCCAGGACAAATCTCCAGAAGGGAAAACTGCCCTTGTGTCCTGTTGCATTTTGCAAACTACTGTGTTTTAGTAATATATTTCTTGGTTGAAGTTATATTTATACTACTTTTCAAGGTGAAACCTCCTTAAGTTAGTTCATGAGATGAAAGTATAACATAATCGCCAAAATCATATGGCTTAGTATAGCAAATCGCACTAGTGAGACAACTCCTCTGTAAACCCTGTGGATTCAAAGGAGACTACTCTAATTGCACATCCCCATCCACTTCCAAGTACAGGTTGCTCACCAGGACAACCAAAGCTATTTCTATCTGAGCTAGGCTAGAAAAGAGATCAGAATGCATCAATGTCATGTATCCACCCAGGGGTTAAATCCAGTCAAAATGGATTATCTGCTCTGTCACCTGCAGTTCAGAAATCATCAGCATTTCCAATATCTTTGTAAAGAATGACACATTAGATGCAATATCCAAAAATCAAGGGCTCTAAATTGTTCTTTGTTAGAACAGAACAAGCTGTATAATTTAAAACCATACATCACCACAATATCAACAACAACACGAAACTGTTCCTTGTTGAAACAAAACTTAATCACAGCCTCCACATGCTGTGGAAAACAGACCCTCCCTGAAAGAAGTGTTAAACCATTTCTGAGGTCCAGATGATGAGCCCAGTCCTGGGGAGGTTTCTCTGTTGGGGAAGGGCAATGATCCTTAAGTGAGGGGGAGTGGGCGTTAAATAGTTCAATAACTTGTGTACATCATCTAGTTACATACTCTGAAAACAGCATGCCTCTGGAACTACAACTGCAGCCATCCACCATTCTGTCAAAACAGTAGACATCCAATGCAGAATAAACATACTTTCTTGCAGTCTGTTACATAAACTGCTTATAGTGAGAGTTAATAGTTCTGATCTCCTTATTTTAGAGACTTTCACTAGTCAAATAAGTGTCACTGGCCAACAGAAAAGGTGTAATGGCTTTTAAAGTTAAGTATAGCAAACTCTCAAGACAGACAGTTATTTTTTAAAAAATTAATTTCGTTTAATAAGTATGTCATTTGGGTACCTTCAAACTCTGCAAAGATGATGAGGTCATCATTTTTAAGATAATTCCGTCTCCTTAGCTGTGCATGTGAGATAAATTTGCTCCACCCCCAGTCATGGCTCCGAGTGCAATTGCAGGAAGTATCAAGTTTCCTATCAAGAGCGGGTCTTCTCCATCGAGAACAATTTGTACCTGTAACCAGTTTAATAACAGTATGTCATTGCAGTATATATGCTTCCTGTTAGAGGCTTCTGGTGGAAGAACAGGGTAAAGGGACTGCTTAGCTTTACAGCAGTGGATTCGATCCATAATTTCCAAAGTGGGTAATTCTTTCAAAGGTACAGTGGTGCCTTGCTTAAGGGCGATAATCTGTTCCAGGATAGCTATTAAGCGAAAACATCGTAAAGCGAAATTAAAAAGCCCATTGGAACGCATTGAAGACCCCTCAATGCGTTCCAATGGGCTAAAACCTCACTGTCCATATGGCGGCCATTTTCGGTGACTGTATAGCAAGGAATCTGTCCCTAAACACAGCGGAGAGCCATTTTAAGCACCTGGCGGCCATTTTGAAAATCCAACGATCGGCTGTTTTTGATCGTTGTATAGCGAAAATCAGTCCTGAAGCAAGGAACCGATCATCGCTAAGCGTAATTCCCCCATTTAGACCATTGTTTTGCGATCGCAAAAGTGATCGCAAAAACGTTGTTGTGAAGCAGATTCGTAATGCGGGATAGTCATTAAGAGGGGCACAACTAGCGGATTCATCGTAATGTGGGATAATCATTAAGAGGGGCACGACTGTAAAGGTAAAGGTTCCACTTGACAATTTTTGTCCAGTCTTGTTCAACTCTAAGTCACTTGAATCCCCATTTCCAAGCCATAGAGCCAGCGTTTGTCCAAAGACAATCTTCTGTGGTCACGTGGCCAGTGCAACTTAGACAAGGAATGCTATTACCTTCCCACTGAGGTGGTCCCTATTTATCTACTTACATTTGCATGCTTTCGAACCACTAGGTTGGCGGGAGCTGGGACAAGCGACGGGCACTCGCTCCGTCATGTGGATTCGGTCTTACAGCTGAAGATCTACAGACCTTACAGCACAGAGGCCTCTGCGGTTTAACCTGCAGCACCACCACGTCCCTTTTCTTCTCTCAAAAGTGAGAATTAATTACAGACATTAAAAGTGAAATGTATAAAACAAATACAGGGACACCAGGACTCATAGGAATGGCACTTATATCTGTTCCTTTCATATTCCTCCCCTTTCCTGACGCAAGTGCTGTTACATATACCACCTGAAGGAGGCCTGATTTTCCAAAACTGATAAGATAGCTGTTAAGATGCAGAAAACTCTAGGCGTCATTACTTATGTAAATGCCATGGCAACAGTGTTGAGATGATAATGATCTTGCATGCTTTGTAACACTGGTTACCAGTGGGAGGGAGGTTCTAAGGGGATTCTCTAGCCGATTGCCAGATCTTCTTCCCCTGCACTGCATCTGGCTTGCCCCTGCCTCTCTTCCTGTTTTGTTTCCTTCACTTCCTTTGTTATTTTTGTTAATCTCTCTGTCTCCTGATTGCCAACCATGCAGCCAACAGGGAGGTTCTGTCTCCCAGGACTCACCTCTCCTTATTTTTTTCTTTTTACTGTTACTATAGACATCAAGGGAAATGTGGTGGCACTGTGGGTTAAACTGCAGAAGCCTCTGTGCTGCAAGGTCAGAAGACCAGCAGTCATAAGATCGAATCCATGCAACGGAGTGAGCTCCCATCTCTTGTCCCAGCTCCTGCCAACCCAGCAGTTTGAAAGCATGTAAATGCAAGTAGATAAATAGGTACCACCATGGTGGGAAGGTAACGGCCTTCCGTGTCTAGTCATGCTGGCCATGTGACCATGAAACGCTGGCTCTACGGCTTGGAGACGGGGATGAGCACTGCCCCCTTGAGTCAAACACAACTAGACTAAATGTCAAGGGGAACCTTTACCTTTATAGACATCAACTATAAGTAAGGATATCTTCCCCCCCCCCCTAGTCTAAATGCTTCTAAAGTGATTTTTAACATAAAGTGATTTTCACTGTGGAAAAGGTGGTGGTGAAATTGAGCTTTTCACATTTCTTACTCTGCTAATTAAAATTATCCAAGAAATATGAGGGAAATATTCTAGAACTTGCCATACTTGTGATATCATCAGATATTGAGAGCATAAAGGAGTCTATTCAAAAGTGACCAGGTTTAAATCAAATTAATTTAGGATATCTAGCAGATGTTAAGATGGAATAGATGTGGAATAAATGAATTAATGAATCAGTTAATGCAGACTTCAAAAAGGGCTAGTGCAGCAGGTCATCCAAACCAGCAAGGTGCTTCTGCCAGATGTTTGAGCCTCCAGCTTTGGCTGCTCTTTGTCCTCACTGTGCAACTTTGCATATAAATAATGACAAGAATGAGGAAAGAAAATAACATCTTTTATTCACTGTCCCCTTTTCCTTTGTGGAGAGTGGGGTCAGACTGCGTGATTGGAGTCCAGAAGGAAGGGGAATGGGCAGCAATGACAGTTGTAGGTGGAAGAGGGTCATCATCGAATGAGCCAATCTTGAAGCTAATATGTAGACACAGTTTCCTGGGCTGACGATGGTTGTGCAGGAACAAGTAATTCTGATCCCAGCACTCACCATGACCTTGCATGTTATCCTGAGATGCACTCTGATGTTGTGCATCTCAGATGTCTGCCACATGGGGCTCTTATTTTCCCCACTTATTCCTGCTCATTAACTTGCACATACCTGGCAAAAATTGAGTTTCATTTGTGGTGAAGCTCCTTTCTGAAGACATCCTTCTCATGACATTGGGATTTTGGTCTAGCACTGTGATGGTAACTTGTCTGTGTAGAACTGGCCACTCAAGGATATCATCATTTGCACCACTGGCCAGGTGAAAATTAATACGTGTGTAGTTTGTCAAGGTAGAGCTTCTCAGACCTCTGGGATACAACGTTAAACCATAACTATAACCTTCAGGGCTGTAGAATCGTGGACTCCACATAGAGTAACCTTGAGGAGCAGTTTTAAGCAGATGGGAGAAGTTACGAATAAGCCACAGTCCGCTGGGGCATTTCGTTTCACTCAGGGTGAGGTCATCAATAGAAATTCCTCCAGAGGAGTCGTTGGGATCACCTTTTAGTCCATGGAAGAGATACCTGAATGGCTTTTGGCCATTCAGATTTACATGGGCAATTTTCCAGTTATGGTCACTGTCTCCTGTGCAAGTAAAAAAGGGAAACATAATGACTTCTTTAGAGTGATATCACACTGATAGAAAGCAGACAAAAATGATAGATATTTCCTGCATTTCCCCCCTGCAAATCAGATGACAATGTGTCAATTAAACAAATAACACTGCCCAAATGTGGAGAACTGGAATACAGTGATCCTATGCAATGTCCACCCTCCTGTTTGAAGATTACACTAATATGTTTAGTCTCAAATACATGCATGTCTCCTGGAAACAATTACTTCCAGTGATATACATCATAAAACAGGCATTTGTGCAGTCTTCATGTATGGCATTGTACATATTTTTCATATCTTTTTCCTGATGGCACCTTAGGATGTTTCTTGTTTTATAAAACAAAAAATATGTGAAACAGCCTTAAAGTCATAGTACATGCCCAGAAAAACTCATGGTTAGCAGGTGTGTTGCATGTAAAGTGCATGTGATGGGTGTATAAAGGTTCTTCAAAAATCTTCTACTAGTTTTCAAAATTACCTTGAAAAGTTTTAACTTTAACCAGCTTGCGAACATTTCCAGTGCCATCATCCTTTTTAACTGAGATGACAAGCTTGTCCTCAAGGTTTCCTGTCATTTTGAAGAAGAACTCTAGACACTGGTGCTTCCTTTTTGGGTAGAGAATACGGGATTGTAACAGAGCTACATCACCTTTATACCCATAACTTGTATTAAAATAGATGAAGTGCCCAGCATCTGCGGAGAAAAAATAATAGTGCTTATAGAAGTGTTAGCATGCATTCTTATACACACAGTGCTTCTGATTATCAGTTTTTGCTGACTTACAAATGTCGTAAATCAGGAAAGCATGGCATTTCAAAATGAATAAACTAATACCCTAAAAGCAGATCTACTCCACAGACATAGACTGATTGAACTCCTAAGAGAACCTTGGAAGGATTATCCAATAGAGCTTTTGTGACGTCCACCCTTGTGCCCCTTGTTTGACCGTCAAGCCTCAGAGCACACAAAGGCAAACACTCTCTTCTTTCACACTTGCTGCCACCAAGTGATCTCTAAATCACCATTTACTTCAGAAAGATTCAGGTCCACACTTCAAGTTCTTTTAATTTAAACTTTGGTTTATTGATTACATAGATTGATTCATGAATATCTTTAGTAGCTAATCATTCCTCAGAATTTCCCCAAACTACACACTCTTATTACACTGTCTGGCTTTTCTCTCCGGCCTGACTCTCTTACATTTCTATCTACTCCACAGACATAGACTGATTGAACAGTCACTTCCTCTCCTAAGAGAACCTTGGAAGGGTTATCCAATAGAGCTTTTGTGGCGTCCACCCTCGTGCCCCTTTGCTTGACCATCAAGCCTCAGAGCACACAAAGGCAAACACTATCTTCTTTCACACTTGCTGCCACCAGGTGATCTCTAAATCACCATTTACTTCAGAAAGATTCAGGTCCACACTTCAAGTTCTTTTAATTTAAACTTTGGTTTATTGATTACATAGATTGATTCATGAATATCTTTAGTAGCTAATCATTCCTCAGAATTTCCCCAAACTACACACTCTTATTACACTGTCTGGCTTTTCTCTCCGGCCTGACTCTCTTACATTTCTCTTACTGACTCTCTTACTGACTCAGGCTCCACTTCTTATAGCATCTCTCTCAGCTCTGCTTCTAAGCAACATTAATATGCATGAACTATTCCATTACATAATATACATATGAACCATAGCTCTAATAAATGGAGAACGCTACAGCTTTCTTTGGGTTGTTGTCAAATGACACCTTTCAAGTTTCTATGTCTAACCCATGACATTTCCTCTTACACCACACAATTAGAAGGTACCATGCAGTTATTCCACTTTTTTTTTTCTTTACACATTTTTCACAATGAGGAAAAAGAGAGTAGTGGAAAACAAGGAAGGATTGTGAGTGCAGAACACTTATGCAGAAATTCAGTGAACTGAAGGAGGTTGAAGGCACAATAAAAGCCTTTTCTGAAATTGCTCAAGGCTGTGTTGTTGAATTGGTACTAAATAACTGTAAGGAAAAAAATCTGTAGTGCAAATGGGCCTGTTAAAAACAACTTTTCTTAGTCATGAGATATGAACCATAGCTCTAATAAATGGAGAACGCTACAGCTTTCCTTGGGTTGTTGTCAAACGACACCTTTCAAGTTTCTATGTCTAACCCATGACATTTCCTCTTACACCACACAATTAGAAGGTACCATGCAGTTATTCCATCTTTTTTTTTCTTTACACGTTTTTCACAATAAGGAAAAAGAGAGTAGTGGCAAACAAGGAAGGATTGTTATGTAGAAATTCAGTGAACTGAAGGAGGTTGAAGGAGGTTGAAATTGCTCAAGGCTGTGCTGTTGAATTGGTAAATAACTATAAGGAAAAAATTGTAGTGCAAATGGGCCTGTTAAAAAACAACTTTTCTTAGTCATGAGATAGATTCATAATGTAATTTTCTGAAACAGTATGTTGGCGTGGATTCGATCTTATGACTGCTGGTCTTCTGACCCTGCAGCATAGGCTTCTGCGGTTTAGCCCACAGCGCCACCACATCCCTTTATGATAGATTCGTAATGTAGCCTAATTTGCTGAAACAATATGTTTTCAACAAAAGAAAGCAAAATAGTCAACAGATTTCAATGAACTGTTATTATCTCTCAGTGACAGATACATATGTGCCACCTGTGTATAAAAATGATAAGACGGATCTTTGCCCTCTGTTTCAGCATAAGAGTTATAGAGAGTATTGCATACTGCACTGCTGACAGCTCTGGTATTGACACCCTTCTTCAGCAGTAAGAATTACCAAATGTGTCCATACAAGTCCCCCCCCCAAAAAAACACAAACTTGAATCTTGTTATAAATCTTTTGGAATTACTCTAGATGCTTAATTTCTCCAACTGACCCATTTTTCCTCCAAAAATTGGAATTACGTCAATATGTTTTTTTTTTAAAAAAATGGACTTCCAGTATAAGCTGATGTTCATTTTCCAATGGCTATTCATGGAATAAAGAATGCAAAATTAGAGATGAAGGTAGTTTGCTATGACAAGCACATGTCTATCACCACTTGAGGGAGCTTCTCTTCCAGAAAAAATGCTGTGTATTTTTTTATGTTGAACCTCTGCTGGGCAGATTGTCCACTCAATAATAATTCCTCAATCCAGTCTCAATTGAATACAGTGGTGCCTCGCATAGCAACGTTAATCCGTGCAGCAAAAATAGCTGCTAAGCGATTTCGTCGCTATGTGATTTTAAAAAGCCCATAGAAACGCACTAAGACCTGTTTAATGCGTTCCTATGGGCTGAAAACAGACCTTAAAGTGAAGATCCTCCATACGGTGGCCATTTTCGCTGCCTCTTATGCAAGGAATCCGTGCGAAAACACAGCAGGCAGCCATTTTGTTTACTTGGTGGCCATTTTGGAACCGGCGACCAGCTGTTAAAAAATCATCGCTTTGCGATGATCAGTAAGCAAAACAGGGAACCGATCATCACAAAGCGAAAAAACCCCATAGGAAACATCACAAAGTGATCGCTTTTGCCATCGTAAAAACTTCTTCGCTATGCGGTTTTGTTGCTAAACGGAGCGCCCGTTAAGCGAGGCACCACTGTGTTAGTTTATACCAGTGGTCCCCAAACTTTTTTTGAGTCACAGACCAGTTGGGGGTGGGTGGATGGGGTCTGTACACAGGGGGGAAACCACCATCCCCGCACTCACAGGTGGGTGGAGTGTGCTTGCGTGCATGCACGAAGGGGCAGAGTGCACTTGCAGAGGGGCGGAGTGTGCTTGAGGAGGGGTAGAGCACACTTGTGCATATGCACAAAGAGGCAGGGGCGCTCACAGAGGTGAAGGGCATGCTCATGGGTGGGAGGGGCACCTATGCATGCAGGTGGTGGGCCGTGCATGCAGGTGGGGTGGATGGGTGGAATGCATGTGTAAGGGCCAGAAGATCTGTCTCCGTGGCCCAGTCCTGCCATGGCCACGGACTGGCACTGGGCTGTGAACAGGGGTTTGGGGACCCCTGGTTTATACTATGTCCTCATTCCACTCCTTATACCTAAACATTTCCCTCCCCATATCATCTGGTGACCGTACCAAGGAGTGTCATGTAAATGTGTGGCAGTAGAGAGTGAGGACATGAAACAGACCCCTTTGTTACACAGCAAGGAGGAAAGTAATAGCACTGTCTTCTGGAATTGGCCATCCAAGTACAGTAGTAGTGGAAAACCAGTGAGAACCAATTACTCTGGTATCCAGCTCAGAAAGCCTATTCAGAAAGGTTCTGTGAGCAATTATTCTAAATCTGAAGATGTCTGAGACCCCCACAGGGTCATACCACCTTAGCCTCTCACCTTAAACTCCGAAACAACATCTAAAAGCTATCTGAAATGTTCCTAAAAAATGAAGTTCTTCCAATATTTGGGAACAGATGAACCTCTCACTTTTTATTTTTTTCACTTTTTTCTAAATATAAAGTTCTTTCCTTGAATTTATTATGCAACAGTAGATTGGAGAGAATTCTTATCAAAAGTAAACTGAATAAAATTGTTGTGTCAACTATCTAAAATGGAAATTTAATAAGCACAAGATCTGCTTCCCAGACAGTAATAAACAATAAATATTATTATAGCAGTTTTGAATTTTGGTTAAATTCCTCTAGCTGTGTAGCAGAAGTGCAGGCATTCACAGAGCAGAACAGCTTCAAGTTCCCCAGATTCATCTATTCCTTTAACTGGCACTTACTGTCTCAATAACCCTCTCTAAGACACTGATAGTAGAAAGACTAATCATGTTTCAATTAGTTAACGTGAATAGACAACAAACTGATAAATACGACTGCTTCAAGCAACAGGCCCCAACAGACTC